GATGAAGGAAGCACAAACACCAGCCCTTTTACACAGCAGAATGTGAATCAGCACCAATGGGGCCAGAAGGGAGGAGCGGCAGCTTGTGGCTCGCTGTTGTGGAGGAGGCTCCTGGGCATGTTCCACCCCTTCCCTCCTCCCACTTCTTCTGTCACCCTTCCTCCCAGAGGCTGCTACAGGGCTGCTCACGAAGGGCCCCAGGACCCCACATAACCGCTCTCATCCACCTCAACCCTGCAGGCCTGCCCCGCTCCGGCAGGTAGTGGCGGGACATCCCGCTGACTGACAGCCGCCCCAGCCAATGGGGGCGCGCCGCCCTTCACAGCCCGCACACACCCCGGCGGCGGCGGGGGCCGCTCCCCATCAGTGAGGGGCAGCGACCCTCTGGGGGTGACAGGCGGCCGTCCCAGCCAATCGCAGGCTGCTTAACTGTGCTGGCCCCACCCCGCCCAAGGAGGCAGCGCACGGCGCTGGGCGAGGGCCTGAGGCGGCGGCCGAGCCGGGTCGGGGGGACGGCGGGCGGGGCGCGGCCGCCCCCGATGACAAAGGGATCGCGGTCGGCTGGCCCCCCCTCGCCTTTCCCGGCACCGGGACTCGCGACCGCCCACACTCACGTTGTCTATCACGATGGGCTGGTTCGCTATCACGTCGTAGGACTCCATAGCGAGGACCCGCCGCAGTCACCCGTTACGCAGCAACAGCCCAGCCGGCGGCGGCGCATGCGCAAAAGGGCGGCGCGAAGCCAGCTGGGTGATGTATTCCTGCGGCCGCGGTGCGCGCTGGGAAGTGCAGTCCCGGGCCAGAGGCGGGGAGCGGGGCATGCCGGGAAGTGTAGTGCGGCGCAAACGTAAACACGGCGCAGGCGGAAGCGGCGTGACGTCAGTGCGTGGCGGCCCTGTGTCCTCCCGCCAGGAAGCGCGGCGTGCTGGGGGCGGGGATTGGGCCTGGCTTCACCGTTTCTCATTTTACCGACGGGGGTGGGTTCGAGGGCAGTCCTTGCCCGCTTGTCAGCTTCACGTTTGTACGCGACTGCAGGACGCCCCGTGCAGCCCCGTGGCTCTGTCGGGCTCCCTCACAGCCCCGCACCCCTTCACGTCCCTCGCGGTTCCCCGGCGGCTCCTCTCCCCTTGAAGCACTGCCACTTCTCCACCGCAAGGGGGCGCGCTCACAGCGCGGCGCGGAGGCGGGGGTAGAGTGGCGCGGCCGCCTTCCGCGCCGCGCTCTGCTATTGGCGGAGCCGCGCTGCTCATCACCGTCGCCCGGGCAGCGGGGCCCGCCCCCTTCCTCCCGCAGCGCCGCTTGGGCCGGGCCGGACCGGGAGCTGCCGCCGCCGGGCCATGGAAGGCACGCGGCCTGGCGGGGCTGCACCCGCGGGCGGGGCGGGCTCCGGCACGGGCTATGGTATACGGTATTGTATACATATATATTGTATATATATACGTATACTATACGGTATGCACGGGTGTGCATACTGTATTAGTGCAACACAGTACTGTGACCTTATAACACCTGCCTTTCTGGTGATGTAAGTGGAGCTTGAGTTTCATACTCTCTATCTACAACTTGCACCTTAAATTCAGATGTACCTGTCTATACTAAACTGTCAATGTAAAGACATCTTGCAAAGCAGAGTTCTGAAACTCATTTACAAGCTCTGCGTCTCAGATTGTACTCATAATTGTGTAGCGTTCCAGATGCTATATAGAATAGGTAATTGCTTTACAGATGCTTCAAATTTTTAAGCTGTGTAAACTTCTATTGAATTAAGCAGTGATGGCAAAGCAAAGCTTGGATATCTGTCCTGGGGAAAGAAATCTTATGCTTCCTGAAAACTTAAGAATCAACCTCAAGGCAAACATGATACTAGGCAAAAACGCTACTGTACGCAGAGCCACAATTAAGTGAGCTCTTAAAGCTTTTTGGATAAAGACATTTTTTCAAGTGGGTCTAATCACATGGCTCTAGTGGTCGCACATTCAGAATGGCGTTATTGCATAACTGCCTTTTCAAGTGATTAGAGTTCTATTAGCTAGTTCTTTGTTACAGATAGAAACCTTGAGACTTATATGCAAGGTTATGGATTCCCACAGGTGTAGTCAATTTTCTGATGGCTTAAGGAATACTGACAGGTTCCCTGTTGCTTTACTTCTGTTCATGGAATCTGTTAAGTAGTCTAATACTGGAACCACATAAATCTTGGCAACTTATCTCTCCACAGGAACATACTACAGAAGGTATTTGATGAAGTCATTTTGGTAGACATCCTGGATAGTGGGGACTCAACGCGTTCAGCATTACTGAGAAGACCTGAGCTGGGTATCACATTAACTAAGCTTCACTGGTGGGAACTGACACAGTTTTCAAAATGTGTTTTCATGGATGCAGACACAATGGTAAGTGGTCGTGTCACAAAGAGATACCTGGAGACGAGATGTGAGGGTTGTTGGTTGGTTGGATTATTACTTTTTTTTGGTGATTTTGGTTTTATTCCTTTTGAGGGGAAGGAGGGATAATGGAGCTATTTTTGCTGTTTAGACTAACTATCTAAAAATGTACGTACACTTGTATGGGAACTGCTGAGTCACGGCCTGAACCTCTGATTGATCACCTGAGGCGAGCCATGAGTCAGCCAGAGGAGCACAGGTGAAGGCAATTAATTCACCTGTGCTGCCAGAAGGGGTGGAGCCAGGCTGCACCCCTCCTAGACCTATTGAAGAGCTGGCTACCAGAGGGGAAGGATCTCTTCTGGAGATCGCCTCTCTTGGTGTTTTGTGGTGAGCTCAGCCGAAGGGTAAGCTCTTCCACCTATTCTCTTTTTGTGATCGTTGTCTACTTTGCCTAACTCTCTTGACTGTATTGTGATTATAACATCTTGATATCTATTGATTATACAACACTTATTCCTAAATGACTCCCTTTAACATGTAGTCTGTGGGCACTGTCTCCATAAAGTATCATCTTCCATAAGACAAGCATCAATATGAGAATTTTCTTTCATGTCTTAAGATGGATGTCAAAAATCCATTAAAAAAGATACCCCCAGTTCCTACCCTAGAAACCAGAAAGCAATTTTTTGCCCCCCCTGCAACTAGGTTTTGTCAAATATCGATGAGGTTTTTGAGAGAGAAGAGTTGTCTGCAGCACCAGATCCAGGCTGGCCTGATTGTTTTAATTCTGGAGTTTTTGTTCACCGACCTTCCATTGAAACATACAATCAGCTGTTACAGTTTGCCCCAGAGAAAGGCAGCTTTGATGGTATGTATTAATTTGTATTCCAATATAAGCTAGGCCAAAATAGTAATGGTGGTTGGGATGGCACAGGAACTAGATATGTTTCACAGGGGTTGTGTATGATGGAATTCTGAACTCCAATGTAATTGCACAAAATCGCATTATCATAGTGAAAGATGAATATTCCAGTATATAATAGAACTACTTTCTTCAGTTTTCCTGGAATGACAAATGAGAGTAGCTTCTATAAGCATTAGCAATGCAGAATCACAGAACACTAAGCTTTGACATGTAACAGTACTGTAAATGCATGAACAAATTGAACAGCAGTACTATACTTTAAATTCAGCTCTTCTGAGGTCTCTGGTACTCAAGGCTGTGCGAACGGAAATTGATGAAAAAATGTAGTACTGAACAACCTGAGTTATAGCTTCGGAGAATCTTAACATACTTGAAGGTGTGAGAGTCTCTTGATATGCATGTGATAGCTTCTTATCTTTATAGGATGGTGACCAGACTTTTCCCCAGTGTGGTGTGCGTAGCATCAGCTGCTGTCCGTTATAGATGTAGGTCATTAACGATTAGTCACTGTACCAAATTTAAGCTTGAAAATCCAACTTCTGATGTCCTGTTAGTCTTGGCAATCTATAACCATTGCAGTAAATGCACATATTCCTTGAAGTCTGTTGTAGTTAAAGGCTTCTAAAAAACCAGACTTGTCTCAGTTGCTAAATTTAATTATCTATCTACTATGGGGTGAAATAAAGTTTTACAAAAAGTGCTGCAGAAAACTGTGTAATAAGACTGTTAAATTGTACTTGTAAGGGATAAAAATTCTAGATGTCACTCCTACTTCACAGAATTATCTCTGTTAATTCATGGGTTCCTATGTGCAGCCTCCTAGAGAGCATAGGTCTCAGCTGGATGCTTACTGTAAATAACCTAGTGAAAATTAGTAACAAAAGAGATGCTGTAACAAAGAGATCTGTCTGTACCTCATGACTAACAAGGCAGTAGTTGATAGCTCTAGGAGTGCTTTCAGACATTGGAGGTTAATTGGTCTTCTGGATGTGGGGAAGTGTTGAGTAGATAGTGCTAGGACAAGGGGGAATGGTTTTAAGCTCAATGAGGGAAGTTTTAGATTGGATGTCAAGGGGAAGTTCTTCACAGAGAGTGATAAGGTGCTGGATCAGGCTGCCCAGAGAGGCTGTGGGTGCTCCAGGTCCTGTCCCTGGAGGTGTTCAAGACCAGGCTGGATGGGGCCCTGGGCAGCATGGTCTAGCACTAGATCTGGAGGTTGGTGGCCCTTCTTTTTGTGGCTGGGGGGTTGGAATTTGATGATCCTTGGGGTCCCTTCCAATCCAAGCCATTCTATGGTTCTGTGTGCCAAGAGCTGTAAGATGGTACTGAATTGTTGCATTTAAAAAAGAGGAAGCTGACTGAAGAGTTCCAGGTACATCTGAGATTTGTCCTCTCTGAGCCTTGTGCTCGACTCCTAGTAATTGCCATCTTCTAGGTGTAAGGCCCTTGTCATTGAAGAGAGTACAGCTGCTTCTACAATGTTCTTTTTGACTTCAGAGCTAGAGCCACGTAATGATGTAACATCCTTGATGTTGTCTACATGCTGCAGTTGTTATAGCTCTTAGTGGAAAAATGGTGGGTTAATCATTTGCCATCTTTTAGAATTGTAATTTATTATTTGGCTGTTGAACTTATTCAGGTTTTACCTGAGTAATGAGATGGTGGAGACTATTACTACTTGCGTGAGATGTGTTGAGCTTGTGAACTTGGGGAGAAAGAGTATTTAAATTTCAATTGACTTAGACATTAGTAAAAGTTTACAGGAAACTTCTTGTAAGTGAAAATCTGAGAAGTCACTGCCCTTAACAGGGCACAGGAATGCAAATTTCATAATCTACAAGTTATTGAAATCAAGCTTTATACACCCTATCTGCAGGAGTATGAACTAGGAAATATAATACCTTCTAATGTATTTTGTGGTTATAAACTACAGTAGACAGATGGCTCTTATGTATAATACTTTAGTCTAAGAATAGTAGAATGACAGCTACTTTACAGAGAACAACTGCTTTATCTAGAAAAGTGAAACTCAAACAGAGAATAAGGAACTAGTGGAGGAAAAAGTCTGGTTTTAAAAGAGTTCTGATAGTATTGATACCTTAACAACTGATATTACTGCAGAATAGTCTGACTTTTTACTCTGGGATCTGAAACAGTTGTTTTTTCATAAAAAGACATGCAGCAGAACTGCCTGTAGATATGTGGAGAATATAAATACTGCCTGACTCTCTTACCTTATGTTTAAGGGCCGATTTGTAGAAGACTACCGCTGAAGTCCAAGCTAGGACAGCTAAACTTTGATTTCAGTGGCCGCTTTGGCACAAATGCATGCAAACTGAAAAAAAAAAAAAAAAAAAAAAAAGCTGAGTGTGTGGAGCAAGTCTGAGTGATAAAGTCATGTAGAGTAAGTTAAATACACTGTTGCTACCCTTTAGTCACAAGCTACCTCTTCTGAGAGGGCCTCCAAGGCTTAGTTTGGTTTAGAACCTAGTGTTACGAATGCATATGCTAAATCAGAAGTTCAAATGTTATATAACTGAGTAAAGACCAGGGAACTTGTCCAGTTCCTTTGACTTTGCTCTCTTGCAATAGGGAACTTGTTCAAAAGTGCTTTGCATTTTTAGGGGTTGAGAGGAAAGTCAAAGGTTTGAAATTACTGATCTGAGTCTGTAGGCAGTGTCTTGCTCTCCAATCTTCACATATACTGACTGCTGTAACAGGACACTTAGAACTTGTTTGTCACTGTATCTCCTGTAAGTCTAAGTGCATGATCAATATAGATATTTTAATCACAAAAAGCAGATTTTTCTCAAACCACACTGAGGATGTAAACTTTAGTACTACCCTGTACTTAATTGTAGGCAATTTAAAAAAAAAAAAAAAAAAAAAAAAAAAAGCAAAACAAAATCATCTTTTCCTGAGTCAGCAGAAACTGAGTGCTTCAGAAAAGAAAAGATTAAGGGATGGTATATGTTTTATTTATGTGTTTTGCTATGTCTCTGCTGTTTAGCAGTGCTACTTGTGAATGCAGTTGTAGGTGAAAACAGCAAATGAGATTGAAAAATCCCTCACAAGTTTGATTTGTGAGAGAAAGTACAGCTGAAATTGTTGGATATACTTAATCTAAGTATATTCCCTGCAATAAATATGTAGTTTTTACTTCTCAGTAGCTCCTTGTCAAATGACCTACTTTGGGGCAGGAGCTATGTTTTTAACTACCCTACTACTGGCATACCAAACAACTTCAAACTCATTGACTTCATTACAACTTCTGCTTGCAAACTGATAGGTGAGCCATTCCAATGCTGTACCTTTGGTCATGATGTACACGGCTGTCCTCACGTAAGGGTTAATTGGTGGCTTTGTATGGCAGAGCTAGGAACTTCTATTGCGTGGATTTAAGTTTTATTAGTGCTGCCACTGAGACAGAATGTGCTTTCCTTGCCAGATTACAATGTAGCTAGGTATGCCTGAGGTTGCAGGTGTAAAAGACCACTGATAACCTTGAGTCCAGCCCCAAGGCCTTGGTCATGTATCTGTAAGCATAGGTAATGAAACTAACGGTGGTCACTTGAACATCTGAACTACAGCTTTCCTGAAGATCTACAGGACCCAGTTGTCAAATCCTTTTTTCTGCTGCCTTACATTGCTTGAAGCTGCACTGCAAAAGACTGAATGGCAGGGTTTGTGAGCAACTCATGGTCTTTTAGGTAAGAAAAGTAACCTCACACACTACCTTTTTCATTGTTTGCATTTTTTTCAAATTTTCAAAGACTGCAAGGCTTACAGGATTGTTTACAAACAAACTGTAGTGCTCGCTGCCAAATGCCTACTGTACCTGCCAAACTACATTATCAGCTCCTTAATTAGGAAGGATTGGTGGAGTAGATTGAGAAGACTCTAAAGCATTTGAATAATGCTTGTCGCCTACTAATGCATTCTCTTTCAGGTGCAGACCAGGGGTTATTAAACACCTTCTTCAGCAGCTGGGCAACAACAGATATGAACAAACATCTACCATTTATTTATAATTTGAGCAGCACTTCTGTATACTCTTACCTTCCAGCATTTGAAGCGTAAGTTCAAAATTCTAAGAAGATTTTCAGAGCATATATAAAATAATGTCTTGTAACGTAACGAACGGTGTGAACTTGAAAGGTTTTTCTAAATGGAGTCCACTGTTGTGATTTAATATACTGTGTATGGTTCTACCCTTTAAAAAAAATAAGCTGAATTTCTAGTAATTAAATGAATCGTCATATGATGGAAGATGAGCATTGTAAACTGTGCTGGTAACTTAAATCACTGACTCCCAGTGTAACGTTAACATGGATTCAGAGTAAGCACGTTTAACAGCTCACCTGCAGAAGGGAGAATCAGAGCTCCAGTACTGGATACTGCTTGTTAGAGCTCTAGCCAAAGACAATAGCTCTTGAGTCATCTTAAGCTGAACATCAGCATGTAATTGTTGATATTGTTCCTGTCTAGATAATTTGCCTTAATCACTTAATTACTTAGACTAACTACCAGTTGTTAAATACTCTTATCAAACGTTCACTTAAACATAGTGAAAAAAGACTTGCATAGAGCTAGAATTCTCACCCAAGATTCTTTCTAGATCTGAGTTCCCCAATAGTAAAAGGGAACAAAGACAATATATTATTGTATACTTCCAGCATAAGGAAGAAGCTGACTCTTCCTTGACAGTAGTAAATTAGGCTTGCGAGTAAATACTCTGGTGGTGGCAAGGTCACTCTGCTAAAACAGACAGAAGGAAAGGGGACAGCAGGAAAAGCAAGCTGTAATGTTACGCCCAAACCCATATTCATTAAGAGCTGTGAATGCTGGGGGAGGGGGGAAGTACCAATTGCATGAAAACAATCTGATCTTTGAATGACATGAAGCTATTAGTGTCTAAAGCAGCAGCTAGCATAAGCAGGACT